CCCACCCTTCAAACCGAAACGCATTACTGCTTCACTTCAGAAATAGGCAGGGTGGTGGTACCTACCCGTGCGGACTTACAAGAGGTCCCAACACCAGTACAAAATACGAAAATCGACTATAGTCGACTACCGTGGGACCACTAGTTAAAAGAATTGTGCGCGCCAGTAAATTGCACTGGAGGAAACGACGAAGCGACACGACTCGACGGAGAAGTTCACTCCGAGATCTTGACACAGTTACGTGACTCGAAGGGCTTCTTGAGTACGATTCGTCTAAGGCACAATGATAAATATGGGTATGATTACATCGTCGAATTTCGTTTAAGTGAATTGTGACACATGTGAAAGCCAATATGTCATATAATACTATATGAAGAGTTTAAAATACAGAAAAGCAGACATCATAAACACATTTTTTTTTAAGAGATTTTATGACCTGGTAACTGAGACCTTTAAGTCATGTCTTATTTTAATCTATATTCTTAATTTTATGAAAAATGATATTATGGAGTGAAATGAAATGAAAATGATTAATTTGAGACATTAATCAACTGGGATGAAATTAAATGAGATGATATGAGATGAAATCTAATCTCAGTAAAATGGTGGTCATTTACTAAGATTTTTCAGTGGACTTTTTGGAGGATCCCGAGAAGTTACGTCCAGCGGCTTTGTTTCATTTTCCCACATTTGTGCACTTTCACAGATATTAAACGGTTAATAAACCACCATTATTACACATTTAAACCCGAAGAAACACTAAATAGACAAAATAAAACAAATCACACAACTTCACTCCTCGCGTTCCCGCCAAAAAGTCCTCATAAACACACAATAGTAATCTATATAGATTATATCCAAAAATGCAAAGTAGTTTAATAACCTAAAAGTACATATTATTATTCGCAACACGCTTCGTCAGATATATATATTGATATCCAAAATATCAATAGCTTTAAAGAAATTTTATTTTATGAATTTTTATTTAATGAATAGTAGTGTGTTAGTTTCTAAAAGTTTAATTGCTTTGAATCGATAGCTATTATCATGATCTACATAAACCAATTTAGCGTTCGAATAGAATAATATTGAAATATAACACGGATAAAATTGTTATGGCGTATTTTATACAAAATAAAAGTTTTTTAATTGAAATAGGCTTTTATAGACTTTTATATCGTCATGATTTCGCCATAAAGAAGAATCAGCGAGAAACTCAGCTAGAAATATTATATGGTCACCCAAAAAAATATTTCATTAAATAACCATGAATAGAGCTAGACCAGGTAGGTCTACATTGTATGTATGCTACGCTACGTGTAATTACGTGTATGTATGTATTTTACTATTTTATACATAGATATATTAAATTGTAGTATGTTTATTTATGCATACAGAGTCATATGTAATCTATATAAGTACCTATATTTAACATTATATGTATTCTATAATACTGAGATGTTACTTTAAGGAAGATTTTTGTTTTGATTTTGTTCTTTTTTTGTTTTGTTGTTGTTGTTTGTTATTCTTTTGTTAATGCACCTACCATGCATTATCTCTGCACAACCCTATGGTCGACTGGAAGAGAATGCCCATGGCATTAAGTCCGCCTGTGTACAAGTTTTGTTTTGTGCATAAAGTATAAATAAATAAAATAAATAAATAAACTTCAAGCCCACTACAAGAATTCAAAAACTGTTTTCCCTTCCAGATAGAGGGCCGTGAGTTCACGTACCAGTACGCGCGTAGTTGGAATAGTCTTATACGACAGCGATGGGGCAACGCAAAGCCACCAACGCCTGAAACATGTCTTGTCGGATCCCCTGGATTCACTCTCGATGCTTTTATGTCTCTCAAGCACCGGTTACCGTTCTGGTTGAACTGGTCGATTACGATGAAGAGTTTGACGAGCGAACCAACCCACAGACAGCCCACTGAGTTTCTCGCCGGATCTTCTCAGTGGGTTCTGTGAAGCACTATTCTTGCTAGGGCTAGTGTTAGCAAATTCGCTCAGGTTGAGCCCGTGAGCTCACCACGTACCCGTCTGGGTGTAGCTGGAATCGCTTCTTAGTTTACCAGGAATTGGTAGGGAAAAAATTGGAATAGCCCCTTGAACTACCAACTATTGGTTAGTATATATTTTTTTGCATACATATTTTTGCATACATTATTGCATAATATACTCCCTGATCAAAGGTTACTAATTGATCGAAGATGACATATTACTATTTCTATGAACAAGTCCGAATAATCAACTAACGAAATATTCTAAAACGACAGGGGCATACCACGGGTAGCAAACGGAAACAGTGTCCTTGCGAACGTAATGACATAACTATAGCTCGTTCAAGTGATATGACTCAACGGGATGTCGTCTCTCATTTGTCTTCTTGCCACCGCAACGCGCTTATTATGTATCCTCCATAAACATATTATTAACAGAAACGTTTATTATAATAATGTCTCTTGGTATTATGTTAAATATGTGAGCGACCGACACGAATCTCGTGGTCATTATTTTTATATTCACTTTAAACAGTTCTATTCGTTTGAGCAAGGAGAAGTGATGAATTTAGAATCTTCCGCAAATATACTAGTGTCGGTTAATAATTTAATAAAACATCGTCGTCTTAGGCCTCACAGCCCAGGGTGGGCCTTAGCCTGGTCCAGTATGTCTCTCTAGACTGCTCTGTTCAGGGATTTTTCCTTCTAATTCCTGACACCGATAACTTTGAGGTCGTGCTCTACGCCATCTAACCATCGGAGTTTGGGTCTGTCACGATTTCTGCGGCCCTCTGGTTTGCCATAGAGCAGTTGTCTCGGCATTCTGATCTCCTACATTCGAATATCGAATATAATAAAACGCTGCCTAGAATATTTTTGATGTGAGATTAGATAGATTTATTTTAGTTAGGCTACAACATGGCTATTATCGGCTCTATATTAGATTGCTAATGTGTGAGATAAAATTACTTTAGTAATTTTCTCTATAGTTGATAGGAGTGGGTGCCGAAGATGCTTCGTCGACCCGCACCCACGGCTGACCTGGCCTTCCTACGTCCGTTTCCAACAATGTTTATGGTCTCGTAATACGAAGCGAGCACGTCTATAAAGAGATTCCACGCTTTACGATCGCTGAATAGACTTTTCCCTTTGTTACAATGATTGGTTCCTCGCGTCCACGAACTTTTATTATGCGGAAATGCAGATCGTGTCGTGAACTAGCGACCATTGATTTTAAATAATTGAAAATTCCGAGTTTGTCCGGTTGTTACGGGCACGTGTGGCGTGCTGCCAAACGATCGCAGAGCTGTAAAGTTTAATAGTTTATCTCCTCTCAAGTTGCAATTCCATTTGATCGGTTGGTGACCCAAAGGGAAACCAGTACCACGACTCACGGTATCGTGATTGTAATAGCATTTTCATGCTAAAATAGCGTGCAAAACGTGGAACTTCTGTAAGTTGGAATGCAGCTGTAAATCAAATAAAATTATACCGAACGTCGATCCGGAACGATATTTTATCGAAGATAAATTATATTGTAGTACTGGCTTGAACGGATTGAAGTATGTACCTATTACTTACGCGTTAGTTGCAAACAATTAAACTATTATATAGGTATATGTGATAGAATATATTATATGTGTACTAGTCTAATTACGCTATCACACTTTTACATTATGGAATGCTTATGTCAATCTATATATTATTAATAAGTAAAGCAAAAATTTGTTTACGAAAATTGCGCGCATGGAGAAGTATGAAATTTCCCACACTTGTAGAGAATATAGAGGAGTGCATAATGTCATTTTTTTTATGCATTAAAAATACATTAAATCAATAAAAAAACCTTACAAACACTATACCATGTATTTGACACAACACATTGTTTATTGTCAAACTTTTGTTATTGTTAAAGTTAAAGTCTGTGTTCAAATTCAGAATGTCTGTAGTGTAGTCTTGGCAAAATCTATGACGTATAGAAGTATCTTGTCTTGAGTATCTTGAAGTCTTTGATAATAGAACAATAATAATGTTCAAATTTATGAATTATAGTCGAATTGCGACTACTAGGGAACCACTAGTATTTGTAAAAATGTTACGGCTCTGATAGATAAATTCAGTTATAATTTCACAACTCAACATTTGAAATATGAAATGAACACTACACTTGATTCGTCATCGCCAAAGGGTGTGGGTGGGTCAAGTTAAAAAGAAAAAAATAGGAGTTGTTTTACGATTCATCTCAAAGCTTACTGCAGCCATTGTAACTTATTTTTCGTAATCCAATTACGTAAGCAATATAGTAAGTCCACGGACATCTGAGCGGTAGATTTTATCGTTTGATAGGCCTGGACAACTACGATTTTGGTGTCCCTATGTTATCTTTCATTGGAAAATAAATAACGAAGTAAGCTCAATACTAGAACAATTTACGTCGATTCTCTCATTTTAAAATTGACCATAATTGGTGGCCTGTTTATCAACCGACTTCATCAGCTGGCAAGCAGGCGCCCCATGTATCTTGGGACCTTAGACGCTTACCCAGAGTGCCAAATGTAATAGGGTATATTCATGTTTTTGGAACCACGTAATGTAACTCAAATATAAATCAGACGATGTCTGGATTGTACGGTATCGTGTAACTTTGTTTAACCATTTTCGCTTTAGTTTGCGGTGTCAATGAATAGTAAAACAATATTCTTTGCCGGTTTTGTTTAGGTTATATTTATTATTTAGAATGTGAGTAGTTAGTTATCTTACATTCCATATTCTAGTGATCGTTTTAAAAACAATATTTTATACGCTCAAACTTTTATCATGAACATTTATTTTTGCAAAAGCTGCCAACCAAATTGAAATACTTTTATTCAATTTGTCAACCGTTTGTTTTTGATACACATAAAATGATCGAATTCGAAAAAGGTCTCGTTTTATTATAGTTTATTGTTAATTTTCAATAAATCAAGGAACATAGAGATAGACGGTTCTAAGCCTACCTTATTCTCCAAAATGTTTCTGTTCTCGAGAGCGTACATTATCGCTTTTGATACTTTGGTGTCGAGTTCTCGTAGTGCGACGTCAGCATCTATCCTGGTGAGCTGCTCCACTCCTTCCACGTAGCTAGACCATGGCCCGTCTAGCTCTACCAAGAGAGATCCAATACACCTAAGAAAAAAAAGCATCATTACTATCTTTAGATGGAATTTGTCGTACTGCCTTTTCTTTTTACGTCACAAAAGTAGACTTGTGAAACTATTTTAAGAATATGCAATATCTAATAGAAACTAAGAACTGTATTTCTCATATTACTGGTGGTAGGACGTCTTATGAGTCCGCACGGGTAGGTACCACCACCCCGCCTATTTTTGTCGTGAAGCAGTAATGCGTTTTGGTTTGAAGGGTGGGGCAGCCGTTGTAACTTTACTGAGACCTTAGAACTTATATCTCAAGGTGGGTGGTGCATTTACGTTGTATATGTCTATGGGCCCCAGTAAACACTTAACACCGGGTGAGCTGTGAGCTCGTTCACCCATCTAAGCAATAAATAAAACATATTTTTGGGCTTCGCATCAATTGACAAGACTTGAACCGATTTGGCTACTTGGTCTTCAAGTATTCGTAATAGTCCTAATAGGGTTTTGTTTATAGTTGAAACTAATAGATGACGGTGCGATCAAATCTCAGGTTTTTATTTATTTATTTCCACGACAGATCAAAGTCTGCCGGTTTTTTTTTATTGCTTTGGTGGGTGGACGAGCTCACAGTCCACCTGGTGTTAAGTGGTTACTGGAGACATTTACAACGCAAATGCGCCACCCACCTTGAGATATAAGTTCTAAGGTCTAAGTATAGTTACAACGGCTGCCCCACCCTTCAAGCCGAAACGCATTACTGCTTCACGGCAGAAATAGGCGGGATGGTGGTACCTACCCATGCGGACTCATATGAGGACCTACCACCAGCCACATGAGGTCCTACCACCAGATATTTTAGTAATGAAAAAATAAAATAATAATAAGTCTGAATTGTGCGTTCGAAGGCTCTACTAGTAGCTCCGTGTTTCAAAGACTTAAGCAACGTTTACATTGAGTTTAATATTTGCTTTTGAAATTTCGAATTCAATTTTAGATTCCACAAACCCATTATACGGGTATTATTAACTAAGGGTTAATAATGTTTTGTTGTGTTGTTCGTCCGTACAACAAATGTTGTAGACGAGGCCACAAGCCGCGGTTAATTAGAGCAACGATTCTGTTCTGTTTCAAAGTTTTTAGTACTCGCGCTTGCCAGAATCTTTCGAACTTACTCCATAATACATTTCGGAGTCGCCGCAAGAAAATAATTAGCGGAAGAGTAATGAGGCCTTTTAAAGTTTAATGAAAATTTTACCAGTATTTTTTTATTTATTATTAGAATCCCCGAATAAGTATCTGGAAGTCGACTGTGTGTTGTTTAGATACCTTTTTTTTTTGTCAGGAGGAAATCGCCGCACTTCCGCCCTTCACTGGGGATGGAGGGCGGGGCATGTCGGAGTCGAACTGACTAAAACCTCCTGTCGCTCAACAACCAGCATCCAAACCTCGCATGACAGACAGAGCTCACGAAAAGGCAAAAGGGGAAAGTGAAGCGTTTAGTGCGGAGCACATCTCTCCCATCACCCTCCCCCTCGGGACGCCGGACTGGCGGTCGTCGGCGCCACGACCACCAGCCCTCTCGGTCGGCAGGCTGTCCGAAGCCCGCCTACTTACACGCCGTCAGCTTGGGATTAAGAAACGGAACGATTCGAACCAGAATAGGGATGATGAACGATTAATTTCCAAAACTATCGCTAAACTTATTTATAGCTACAAATTTAAAGAACTCAAAAACACATTTAAAATTACTTAATAATGAAATAAGATATTTAGATCAGTTATGATTGGAACTATCAATTATTCAGTGTCCATATTCTGAATAGAACGAAAGGAAATAGGTGACGTGGTATTTATTCGTTTAGACTTAATGTGATCGTCTCTATTTTGTCTTGATGCTTCAACAAAACCATTATTCTGGAATGTGATTTTTTTATTTGGGGGTGGTATTGTGAACCTGCACGTATACTACATCACCAATGTCCTTTCTGCCGCGAAACGGTCTTGCCTTCCTAGAATATTTAGCACTAAACACGTCATTACGGATCCGCCCGATCCATTAACGGTGCCTTTAGGCACGATAAGCACCGGTCACCGTCCTCGTCGAGCCCGTCGCTTGCGACGAAGGGCTCGACGAGTAAATTAACCCATAGATACAGTCCATTGAGTTTCTCACTGGATCTTCTCAGTGGGTCACGTTTCCGAACCGGTGGTAAATTCTGCGTAGCACAGCTCTTGCTAGGGTCAATGGTAGCAACACTCCCGGTTTGAGCCCCGCGCGCTCACCTACACGTCAAGGAGAAGCTGAAGTAACCTCTCAAGGCTATCAGCATAGGTAAGAAAAAAAAGGATATCTATGAGTTTTGTCAAGCACTATGCGGACAGTTAGCTTCGTCGCTTATTTAAATAAAATTAAGTTAACGCAGCTGCTTGATTGAACACGTACCCTCGAGCGATATTCAAGCAGTAGTTCCTGCATGGTCTCGCGTCGAATCCAGCGCAGCGCGCACACCCAGCGGCCTGGAGTAGCTTGTTGGAGCATTCCTCGTTAATACCGGTGAGCACGTGGTTGGCGGAGGTCAGAGCGCCGGCGCCCACCGCGAGCATGTCCAAGAGCACTCGCGCTGCCTCCAGAGACTGAGACAGGGAAACGCCGAGCTGTCAACAAAATAAAGCGGTAAACTATTTAGTATTTAGTATTTATCCGCTACTCACTCCCATTACTGTAACAGCGCACAGAGTTTCTCGGCGGATCTTCTCAGTGGGTCGCGTTTCCGATCCGGTGGTAGATTCTGCAAAGCACTGTTCTTGCTAGGGTCAGTGTTAGCAACACCTCCGGTTTGAGCCCCGTGAGCTCATCTACATGTAAGGGCGAAGCTAATAGCATCTCAAGGCTATCAGCATAGAAAGGAAAAAAAAACTACTGTAACTGCAGTACAACCGATGTTCATATCGGTGATCACACGAAAAAACTGAACGAACTGATCTCGTAACGGACTTAAAATTGTTAGAATTAGGATCATGTGCACACATTATATAATTCAGTGTTATAGAAACTCGTAAATTCAATTCGGATACTTTAGAAACGAGAATGTGACTCCAGCCTCGGGTAGCTGGTTTTTCAATGTTCAGATAGATAGAAATATAATAAATAGAATAGAATAAATTAGAATAAAAAATGGGCAAACAAGCTGACAGCCAGCCTTACGTTAAGAGTTATATTTCACAGTAGTAATATGTTAAATAATTTATTTCATTTCAACATCAACAATTGAAATTTTACGACTTTACAAAACACAGGCACAGGTTTCACTAATGGGCGTTTGTCAAACCTTTCAAGTTTATTGTAGAAGTTTAATGTTTGTGCTTTAAGAAACTTTTCTGAAAGCTTATTCCACACAGCCAAAGCTCGAGAATGAGTTGTCCTATTTTGTGAATCCAAAACTCAGATCTAAGAATCAGATGTCCGTAAAAAGTGAAAAAAAAAAAACAAACAAAAAGAAAACTAGTAAAATCAAGGCCAGAGCAAGATAATGATACTTAATATTCGTTTATAGTCTAAGAATCAATTTGATTAATTACGAATTGTTTGTTTGTTAATACAGTTATATAAATACAGTTTTCAATTAAATGAATTCTCTGTTTCATTGTTTTCATTGTTTAAAAATATTGAATGGTCGTTTCTACTAAGGCATTTTCAAGATAATGAACCAATCTATAGTTTAAATTTGTAGGAAAAGTTTGCACACTTTGTTAATATATTTATTTATAAAGTCGTCTGGTACTTGGGTTCAGTTTGTGTCAGGAAGTGTACATCTCGATCTACAGGGGAGTGGATCTTCTAGGGTTACGTCTAAAATGTCTGTCGACCGATATTGAAAAAATTAGCTCATAGTTAGAACGAAGTTCCTTATCGCGCGTTGTGAAAGGGGGCTAGACGGAAAAAATTCTTACGAAAAGTTGTCACGACACTTTTTGCTATAGTAAGCTATTGTACGAAGTAATTCATATTGTATGAAGTAATTACGAAAATTGAGCCTACTGATTAAGTTTATATAACATTATATTTGTTAATAATTAAAAAAAAATTTATTATAACTTAAAAAAAAAATTTTTTATTACAATTCCTTCACTAATTAATCGAAAGGAACTTCGTTCCATCCAGGTGTCCCTTGACACCTCTCAAGTTTTTTTTTAACAGACCTTCTTAGCCTAGAAATATTAATATAATATAGTGATTGATAAACGATTCAAAACATATTTATCTTCCAAAGCTTCAACAATGTTAGCGATTTATACAAACTTAAAACGTATTTTTTTAATGCAATCAACTGTTTTGATCATCTGACCTTAGTTCAGAAAGTTGTCATGTTATTATGAAGTATGATGGTTGTGAGTGTAGATCAAAGATAGCTACGCAATTTGCGACCTCGTGTCGGTATGCACATATTCCAGGTCCAAGGTAAAATAAAATTGTCTTATTTTGGTATGGCGCCGCGATGAGTTATTTCACCATAGTACCTTCTTATCAAACCAGCTCTTAAGCTTAAAAACGTAATATATTGTTTAGTTAAGTATACTTAATTTCGACTCTTATTTTAAAAGAATCTTTAAGAATTTGTTCATTAAATATGTCAAGACATAAACGAACAATGCAAAAAATTAATAATTGCAATTATGTATATTTATTTATTTTATTACATTTACTTTAGATTTTGCGTCCATATTACATTCATTAACATTTCATGTAGTATACCAAAATTAAATAAAAATAATAACTACATTAACGGAATAAAACAGAAAAAAAAACGATAAAACAAAAGCAATAATAATATTATAATAAAAAACAAAAAAACAAATAATAATAATAATAAAACAAAAACTCAAAATTAACACCAAAACTACCTTAACCTAAAGGCATTTTTTTATTGCCCTTCTAGGCAGACGAGAATACGGCCCACCTGATGGTGAGTGGTTACCGTCGCCCATGGACTTCAGCAATGCCAGGGGTAGCCAAGCCGCTGCCTACCGCTGGTTAAGTTCGTTATTAGTTAGGTAGTATGAAATATTTAACAATAATTAGAAATGGAATATTACCTGTTGCGGAACTTCCCCGAAGGGCTGGACGGCGTCATAGGCATCTTTGAGGCAGGCTTCGTACTCCGGCGTGAACTGCTTCGAGTCTAGTCTGAGTGCGTTTTGATACGCAACCGGGAATAGATCTCTGAAAAACTTCCTTGCGCTGGTGACCAAGTCTTTAGGATGCCTCGTGTTGACGATGTCGGTTATGACGTCATGCTCTGAGCTCGATCGTAGGAGAGTTCGTATGTCGTCATAGAGGGTCGCAAGAGGAGTGTGAGTCCTCGTCGCGTGCCCGCGGTACAATTGCGTGAAGAGTACCGCTGTTTTGTTCTGAGATCGATGCGATAGTCCCAAGAGATGCTCTGTACGGAAAAAGAAAACTGTTTCAATAACAAATTTAAGGCCAAACAAGCGACAAAATGGCGTATGTAAAATTTAAAAGTGAGTATTTAAAAGATTAGCATTAGAACCGATTTTTCAGCGATGATTTGTTACATAATTTAATAGAGTGGACATGTAAACAAATTTTAAACCTGAAGAGAATTTAATTTTTTTAATTTTTTTACTTTTACAGGAATATATGCACACTTGTTCATGTAAATCTAAAATAAAAAAGTAAAATCGGTCAAATTCGTAGCAGGTTCGTTCTATTTTTATAAATAATCAATAACTTTAAGTGTTCTTTATTTCAATTTAATTAAAATCAAATTTCAAGTCGCATACGTAGTAAGCGGTGAAATTTACGAAAAACAAAAAAAAAAAACATTAATTTTGAAATCGTCATCATATTTACAAAGTCAAAATCTTAATCATGTTACCAGTTCATAATAAATAAAGCGTGCCTTCAACATTACATACATTCACTGGCACGACAAAGTTGTTTAAACTTACACGAACAAAATAACGTTCCGCTTGTAGCTAGTTCCTAAACTCAATACGTATAACCACCAGTTTGTGAGCTATAAATTAAACTGAACATTAACATGTCTAGTGTAAATACGTTCATGGTGAGCAAACATCCCTCGGGATAGCGTTCCCGTTGTTTTGTCACACACTACGTTATCGCCAAGGAATTCGGAACCTCTCGGATTAACACCTGACCACATTCTTTATGTCTGAGATATGAATTCATTTGGGCGTTATTAAAACAGCTTTTATATAGCTCCGTATTAATAGGCGTTATGCAAATGTTTGTCAGTAATCAAGTAGTATAAATTTATGGGGAGGTCTGAAAATGTAGCGCCAGTGACAGTCTAAATAAAAAGTGGTCGGTTATCGTGGCATGTTATGCTTAGAAAGGATGATCATGTGACCAAAAATACCATGGGTATGAAATTTGCCGGTAATATAAGGGAGGGGGGTGTCCTAAAAAGACCTAGATGGACTCTGTGGAAGAGCGTATACGAGAGGAGAGTGTGGGTGCAGAGATGACGTATGATAAACCTAAATGAAAAAACAGGACACACTGCACTGATCCCACATAGTGGGATAAGGGCAAGAAGAAGAAAATAATTTCGTTAGTACATTTTAATTCCATTATTCTTATATCGATTATATTATATCGATTTGTTTATATAAAATTCATGATAAATATTGAAATGTTTGTAATGCCTTTTTTGAAACAATCATCATTTTTATTACTCAGTCATTCAATGATATAACTTGATCATACCTACTCAGTTACTGAAGTATACTGAACGTTGAACATCCCTGACATTTTTGAAGATATTAGATCTAAACTTTAATTAAAATATCATGTAGCTATTAAACAACACAAAGTGGAAGGCTTTAGAGGAAGAGGTAGACGTAAGAACAAATTGATGGATTGCCTGCAAGACGATATGAGAGGAGAGTGAGCGAAGAAATGGTAAATGATAGAGTACTGTGGAAGGAGAAAACATGCTGCGCCGACCCCAGGTGACTAAGAGAAGGGGCAGGAGAATGATGATAATGATGATTAAAGAACAAAATAAATAAGCAGTCTCTAAAAGGCGCTAACCCATTTTCAAGATACGTTTTAAATATAAAAGTACTATAAAAAACTGAAATTTGAACTCATGTCTCAAGACAGGCGGCGTGTTTACGTTCTTAATGTCTACGGGCTCCGGTGACCACCATCCCCGCTGGATATTTTTATGAGCCACTCGTAGTGTCCATATAGTTGCTTACATCGTGAAAAAAGGTAATAAATGAAGTCAGGTAGCAATAACTATTCAGAGAGGGTTGGGTCGCTGCCCACAATTTTAATATTCCGGACAATTTGACGTCATAAAAAAAACTTTTATTTTTTATTGCTAGATGGGTGGACGAGCTCACAGCCCACCTGGTGTTAAGTGGTTACTGGAGCCCATAGACATCTACGACGCCACCTACCTTAAGATATAAGTTCTAAGGTTTCAAGTATAGTTACAACGGCTGCCCCACCCTTCAAACCGAAACGCATTACTGCTTCACGGCAGAAATAGGCAGGGCGGTGGTACCTACCCGCGCGGACTCACAATAGGTCCTACCACCTGTAAAAAGTGGTAATGTCTTAACCTATATTATTACATATTTTCATTTTGTTGACGTATCACGTAAGGTGCTATTCAGTCCAACAGTGCGAAATAGTTTAGGTATATTGTTAGTTTAAATCCGCCTCCGAAGACGCTAATTGAATTTATAGCTTAGAACTAAGTTTAGCGTCGAGAAAATCTATTATTAAGTAAGCTCTTCACGCCTGGGGGAACGAGATGTGCCCTCGCCTGTGAATGTATTTGACGTACTTGTAAAATTATGTAAATCGGGTGCGTGGAAGTATAACGATTCATAATGTAACGAATGTCGGTGTATTTGATCGTTAGGACCTTCAATCCTTTCAGGAGCAAGAGAGGAATTTCATTGGCGCTTGTGAGCATGTAAGCGTTATTCATAAGCGATACATGGATCAAAGGACTACTCCATTGATATTCAAAGGTAATGTCAGAGAGTTTTACACAACAAACATTGTGCAATTAAATGAAGTTAAATAGTTTTATTGTGGTAACAATGAAGCATATCTAACTATTTTATTATTTTCGGAATATTTCAAGAGCCTGAAGACTTTAATCTTAATATTTATTGTATAGCACTTAAGACGTAATATCAAATAGTTGCGTTATTTATTTATATAAAATTCATAACGTCATTTGTTCCGTGGTTAATGAAAAAAATTTCTGTATCACGAAAATCAGGTTTAATGCACGGAGTCGGTGTATCTTTGTTAAATATATGCGGAATTCAGAATTATTTAGGTTTATTTTTTACTATCTCGTATCTCCACTCCTGGCATAAATTACAAAAGAGAATATAACCCCTGAAAAATTGCATATTGATCTATTTTAGGTTACTCGGCGGACTAAATGCATTAGATCAAAAACAATTGGTTTTTGTATTTACGAGCTATTAAGCGGGTTCAGTTTCATTAAGGTAGAAATTTTTTTTGCATACAAGTCCTTTTTTCTGTACATTTGGCAATGTGTATGCAAATTTCACGATGGTCAACTTCAACCAGCGTAGTTTAATTGTGAAAGCTTATCTTATGTACTTTTTATATACTTACGCATTGATTATATTAATAAAGTGTAATTGAAGTTTATTTTAGTACATTGATTTTTACAATTTCCGTATTTCTGTGAAAGTGTCGAACACATTATATTTGTTTGTAAACAATTTTTTGGAAGAGAATTCTTCTAAAACTATAGATTGTCCATTAACTTAAGTAGACGCACTTCAAATTTGTTTAGTTTTTAGCAGAGAAATAATAAGTTGAATGAATATCTTCTAAGGATTCTGTCAGATTTACTTGATGTGCCTATAAATAACTACCATACGATATAGTTTAATATTTTGACTCTGCCGTACAAAAAAAAAGTAATCTATACATATAAATAAAATTGGAGTGTCTAGTTTGTAATATTGAAATAACCGCTTTTTACTACATGCATATGAATATGTATACAGTACATACACCAAAATAACATTTTTTACAATTTTTGTCTGTCTGTCTGTCTGTTTGTTCCGGCTAATCTCTGTGAACGGCTGGACCGATTTTTGCTTGATTTTCACTGATAGGTAGCTGATGATATAAGGAGTAACTTAGGCTACTTTTTTTAAGACTAGCTTCGCCCCGCGGCTTCACCCGCGGTACGACAATAGCCGCGGGTAACATAACGGGACTCAGCTATCAATAATAAAATTGAATGCTTCCGAAGCGAAGCGAGGGCGGGTCGCTAGTTAAAAATAAACTTGCATATATGCATATACTCAAATTGAAAATGTCGTATGTGAGACTCAGGTATCTGTCAAATATCTTGTATTCTATGATTACTAACCGCCACATTACACGTTTACACCGTTCACTCCCTAATTAGAATAATATAAAGCACGTATGTGTATTATTTTAATGTTCCGAAACATCCTTTTTTCCAGTTACATGGTTTGATGATTCACGATCGTATTTTAAGAAAGTCCGTGACATTCAAAGCTGCCCGGCGACGTGCCTCGATTGTTTTGCGCCGTCTCGCTTCGTACAAACTACACCGTGAACTTCTCAATCCGGACCTTTTAAGATATGCTTGTTCTATTTTATTACGTAAACACAATAATATGTCATTTTTAGCATCATTTAAATCAAGCTAAAGAAATACTATGTGGTTTAAGCGACTTTTAGCTTAATATGCGACATTTATATATGTAACTAGCTGACCCGGCAGACTTTGTAGTGCCTCAATCGATAAATAAAAGACCTAAACTTTTGTATAAATTAATCTTAAATAAAAACAAAAGGAATCCATCCGAACATCAAAGGAAAAACAAAATTATTATTTTTATTTAATTCCGAGCATTTTCATATTTGTCGACCTTTTAAACCTTCTCTGGACTTTCACAAATATAATTCAAGACCAAAATTAGCCAAATCGGTCCAGCCGTTCTCGAGTTTTAGCGAGACTAACGAACAGCAAAAAAATTTTATATATAGAGGTTAAAGGTGCATTTTCTGTCATTATATTTTTTCCAAAATTTTAAACTTTAAAAAGTTCTCCTGTCAAATTTAAAAAATGTCGCTTAAACCAAATAGCGGTTCGTCTCGTTATCGTTCTCGTCGAACCCGTTGCTTGCGACGAAGGGCTCGGCGAGTAAATTAACCCACAGACACAGCCCACTAAGTTCCTCGCCGGATCTTCTCAGTTGGTCTCGTTTTCGATTCAATGGTAGATTCTGCGAAGCACTGCTCTTACTAGGGTCAGTGTTAGCAACGTCGTCAGGTTTGTGCCGCGTGAGCTCACCTACTTGTTAGGTTACGCTGACATAGCCTGTCAAGGCTATCAGATTAGGTAGGAAA